ATTATATCAACAATCGATAAGAATAGATATCGGAATCCTTTTTATAAGCATAGGAGCTAGGGTCTTCGGATATTCCATATGTTTCGGTCTGTCTGTTTCTATGTAAACAAGTATCTCAGTTATAAGCCTTTTGTATTGTAACTTTGATTGATCATTCCATGACAGATTTTTTCAAACTTTATCAGATTATAATGATTTTTATAGCTTCAAATCATGCCATGTCTCTTTATGAAGAGAATTGTTTATGACAGCAAAACGCGTTTAATTAAATTATAAGTGCACTATACTTTGCGGCATAAACAATAATTTAGTGTGTACTTCTTCTTAGCATATTTATATTTATATTTATATCTAAGCATAATATTATTAACTGGTTTGTTCATACGCATTGCTTAGCCGTAGGATGGGGACTGGCAGATGGGGCGCTTTTCTAAGCAGCGGTAAATCAATCTTAATTAAAAGACTGTTTGACTCGACCTGAGGCAAGGCAGACCAGGCAGTGAGAGTCGACCGCTTGACGTTCCTTATAACAAAATCTACTAATGGCGCAGCTCGCAGACTTCTACTGACTCTGAATCATTCACGTGTCTTTGGCACACCTGCGACGCGAAACCAACTCCTGGGGAATTGACTTTTTTGGCAATCAAGAAGTCAGATTTTCAAGCCCGTTTCCCAGCTGAAGGCGTTTACCTGAAATTTCTCTCACAGGTGTGTATACATACCATACATTCATGGTATGCTTACGCAAAGCTGTATGGCAAACTGAAACCTAGTATTCAGTCAACGCTTGAAGTTCGTTGACTTGTCCGCCGCAGTCTGACGCTGAGTACTCCCATCCCATGATTGGCGTGCAGTGCAATTGGAATTATTGTAGGGTGTGGCGTGTGGGACAAGAGGTGTCATCTGGCACGGACGGGCAGGGGGGAATTTCTGGGTACCGTGGCGACCTACTGCGGCAAGGTAGCAGTGGCACAGTTTTATTGATTGCACTGATTTAAGCTCTCGATTTGTTGTTGCTGCCTCTAAAATATTGTGGACGACCCACATTCTGAAGCATTTCGTTGGGACCTGATTATGCGCTGCGGCAAACGTTTATCGGCACTGCTGCACAGTTTCGGAGTAGTATAAAAAAACTAAGTTGGCTATGGGAAAGGCAAATACAATGAACCTAACATCATTGAAATAAGCAATTAATCTAACATAGAGTAACAGGATACCAGATGTGAAAATAAATAGAATATATAAAAACAAAAAAAAAAGACTAGGCAATTAACAAAAATACTATTTTCCCCGGAATTCTAAAATATTATAAGTTATCTTTGACGGTTAAACCGTCCTTCACGGATATGCCTGGCAGCTTGTGCCTGAGACATCCATTCGCGATTCTAAATAGTCTTCCCATTAACGCATTTAAGCAGAATATTATTCTCTTTATTTATTTTTCTGCTTTTATTTAACAGCCGTTATGTAGAGTATATACCATATTTTTCTTCGTGTTTTTGTAAATATTTGTATACCGATAATATTTTTTATGGGCATCTTAAGATCAAAGCTGCATTTGTATCTCCAGCGAAAATTGAAAGATATTTTCTAGCGGTCATGAATTAAATTTTGGCAATTGTCAGAAATAATAAATCCAACGCAAGGGGGCTAGTTACACTTTTTTAAAGTGTGTTTACAATTGCCTAACAAGCATCTTACGGTGATGCGCTATCAACTGTCGCGTACATACTCAACCGCAATCTTTGTCGTTGCTGGCAAAGTTGCTTCCAAAGCAAGTAAAAACACGCAAGAGGGTTGTGTTAAGCCAGGGTCATTCACAGATGGTATAAATTCACTATCGTTTGTTGTGTAATCCCCTTGGCAGCTAACAAATATGCGCACATCCGTTTTCCGATCTCTGCAGAGCTGCCCATTCCCAGTTGCGAGCAAGCAAAAAGAGTTGGAGCTGCGGCACCTGTCTGCCAACAGGCAAAACGCAAACATACGCATTGCAGCTGGGCAAATGTGTTAAGCACACAAAGTTTCTGGTCCATTGCCGTCACCTAGCTATAACTCCATCTAGTATCTGTTTCATCTACAACTAGATTGAACCGGGCTGAGCTTGCACCGCGTGTAAATTGCTTAGTAAAAGCAAACAAATTAATCAAAATCAACACGAGGCTGTACAACTGAGTGGGTTTCAAACAATGCTCCATGTTCTAGTGGCCGCCCGGTCCCAGCTAGGCCGAATTGGAACTAATTGCAATTGGGATTTGCACCACACTACGCCGCTCTTTCCCCATTTCAACCTTTGACTCAACACTGAGTGAGTAAAGTAGAGCAGAGCCTGGGCTGAGCTGACGCAACGATTGGCTTCGATAGGCCAAAGCCACCAAAAGGGCGAGGTTGTCATAATTCAGTCTAATGTGAACTGAGATTATCCAAGCAAAGCTGGTTAACGAGCGAAAACTAGGGCTTCTGATAGCCATGCATAATTTGTTTTCATGGACTCATTATTGACTTGCCCGGAATCCTCAAGTCTCTTTTCATAGGCTAAGCAAAAGCAGGAGTGCAATATGCCTTGCAACTTAAATCTATTAAGAATATCACCTAAGCAAACTTTGTTGTAATAATAACGTATGCTATTTTTGAATCGATACATAAACATTTTTAAAAGAAAAAACATATATACAAAAAATTGATTAATTAAAGCTAAATTGAAGAACAACCGCAGCATATAATTCGATTGGATCATATCGTTAGTTATAGTTACGATTTTGGGCGATATATTCGTGCTAATAATATAATTTCGGGAGTGTAAGATAAGGTTCCATAAGGCTTATTATCTTTTTGATCACTCCAAAAAATTTCTCCCAAGATACGCTCAAAAAGTTGTGCCTAGATTTCGATATTTTCGATTCCGGAAGGGTACCAAATTTTGTGCTGATATTTTTTGCAATACGGTAGATGAGCACCCCATAGAGTAGCGAATGCAATCAACAATTTTGCCTGAGGGACAGCTGGCCCGATTCCAAATAACAATTGTGAATTTTCCGCACCTGGCACTGGCTCCGCATCACCTTAGACAATTCCATTGTGGCCCACTTTAGCTTGGCTGCTTTCCCTGCTTATATAATTGCCTCACGCTCTTACTGGGTAACCGAATGATGGGGGTTTCTTGCCTTCGGTACGTGAACAGATCTGCCTGGTCTCTCCCCACCTTAAGCTCATATGATTGTTTGCAATCGGGTCTGCAGGATTGTTCAACAATTAGGCTCTGCGAAGAAGGGTGGCATTGAATTAGGCGGGGGAAATATTGGAAGTGTGACAATCGCAATCGCAGTTCTGGTTCTGACTTTACCTTTATTACAAGCTAAAAAGGGAGTTGCAATACGCACAGCTGTTTGGGTGTGCCACTGCGGTCAATAGTGCCTTTTGGCAACAGTTCGCTGTTGTCGACATTTCACCATCCGCAATTTTGATTGTTTGCAATTGGCTTAAGGTGTTACTGCTGGGCGAATGCGGTCGCTGTGCTGTTTAATTGCCTTCAGTGGAATAGTTGCGAATAGTTGCATATCATGGATTGAATTCTGGGTACACATTTTGTGCCCTTTGCCTGGAAGATTACGACAAATGGCGGTGAGATATTGGACAGATTCTAATAGCAGACAAAATTATATTATAGAAAAATTAATAACTTTCTCAAATAGATCATTAATAACTAATTGTTATTAATGATTTATAACATTATTCCTAACAAACCACCCTCATTTCATCATCGCCAGTCTAGTAGTTTTACCTCACCTAATATTTTCCACCCTGCAGTAAAGTTTGAATTGTTTTTCTTATAAAAATATGTGTGCTTCTTAATTTATAGATTTGTTTAGAAATATAAAAAGGATACTTAAATCTGTTTTACTGTATATATATTTATTGTCATCAACATTTTATAACAGCAAATGTATGTAAAAGGCAGGAATGCTCTCCGAACTAATTAAGTGAGTATGTATGTATGAACACAAGAATATCAGAACCTATAAGAGAGATTTGAAATTTGGACCGTAGGTGCTCCTAGGGTCCGTTTCCAAGTAATCGATAAAATCCGATATCGAAATCGTGTTTTTTGAGTTAATCTCTACGTTTTAGGAACTAGAGTCACCAAACTTGACTTGCAGCTTCTAGAATAGAATACATGTATACATATAACAATATTCTTTATTCTACAGGTACCATCCCGCTATCACCATATAGCTAAAAATCAAGTGAAAATACCGATTTGTATTGCACACCAATTTTATGCAATTGCAATTTCGGAAATATACTAATATTCTATAGCACGATAAGCTCTACTGAAAATTTAATCGAGATCGGTTAAGAAACACAAATAGAACGTGTTTTGGCTCGGCTCGTGTTTGCGGCACAAGGGCAAAGTTTAAAAAATTGTTGTATATGTACACACACATTTACGCGCGCTTTCTTTGGATTCTATTAATAGCATTGCAATTGAGATTATTTTCTGTGCTGCTATTTTAATTCTTTTCTTATTCATTATTGGTGTGGCTGCTGAGTAGAGGCAGTGGCAAGTGGAGAAGTCTGTCGCGCGTTCGAGCCTTACCGAGGCAACCCTTTCTTTTTTTTTTGACTGTTTATTATTTTATTTTATTTCAAGAGCTAATACTTTAATCTAAACGGGTTGTAAGCTTTCCTCCAAACGCTATGTGGAGGTGATATGAGAGGAAAGAGCAGGGTGGGAAAGTAGTTCGTAAAGGAGAGAGGCAAATAAAATTAGCCACCGCTTAAACAAGGTTTGGGAGATATGAGAGAGGACTGTAACAGCGAAAGCTCACCGTGTAGAATACGTTACACTTCCAGATATGCGTGCACGCTCTTTGCTACTGTATTACTCTCTTTCTCTCGCGCTCTCTATCTGAAGCTAAATCCACATAGCGGTAGCTGCTGGTCTGGCACACAGCAGCGAACATAATGGGCCAAGAGTGCGGCTTCAGTAGTAGGAATTCATTCGTGCGTCGTGGACACAAATGAGTTGCTGCAGATTCTCTGTGCACTTGGCCTCTCTGTGTCTGTGCGTTGCCCGTCTATGTAAGGTCAGCAGCTTAAGTTAAGGTGGGCAATTAACACAAAGTATTTAAGGATTCTGGCGCGTGTAGGCAGTTGTTATTTCTGGCGTAATCGTAACTTTTAATTTTACAAGCACCCTATGGTGACTTTAATTAAAACCATAGCGAAATGTAACGCAATAAATTCTTATTTGTTATATCGTGAAAATTCAACATAACAAAAATCTAAAAAAAGTCTTCCAATAAATATGAGCTTTTATTTTTATAAGTATGTGTGTGTATATACCTAAAATACTAGAAAATAAAATAAATAAAAAGCAGATCAAAGCAAAAAAAACACTACGCGAGGGCCTAATAAAATTATTTCTTACAGGTGATGTTATTGTAGACCGGTAAAGCCATGGACGTTCATTGATAAAATCAGCGGCAACGCCCTCAGCAGACCAGAAGGTCGAGATTTCTCACAAGGTAAACAATATTACAAAAGCAAAGCTAGCTTAAGTAGCCATTTTTTAGGCAATGTAAAGAACCGTCCATAACGTATCATTATGGAGTATTCTGGGAGCAAACCTGCAGATTGCTGTGAATTGTAAATGTGATTTAGATAACAACTACAACAAACATATACTTTCACAGTTATCCCTACGCGGATAAAAAGTATCCCAACATCGATTAAACCTATTCACCGTTCTAATCTATAAGAGAGAGAAAACAAAACTAATAATTTTGGAGGCTCTGAAATGTAGGAATATAATCAATAACACTAGATTGACGATCCCAAAGTCGAGATTTTAACATTATTAAAAATATATGGTCGCTAATAACGCGAAATAGAACCGCAGATCAGACTAAGACAAGAGACGAAACGAGCACGAGGTAACAAAGCAGTGAAAAAGTTCCATTAAAGTATCTCCAAACCTTGGTGGATTCCTTTCCAATCCGCCTCGATAAGGTCTTAGATACCATTCATTAATTTTAAGTTTAATAAGAATTTATTAAACACAATATATTTAGTTGATAAGCAACATTTTGCCAAAATACTTATGCCACCTCTTGAATCTCTTTACTTTTAAATTTAAATAAAAAATATAGTATATTTCAATACTACAAATGAAAAATTGTTATAATTATAGTCTTATTCATTTTAGCTAACTATAATAAAAATATCAATAGTTTTTATGTCGGAAGAATACAGCTATATAATTTATTATAGTATTGTCACCTTAATTTTCTTAACACTGGTTTATTGTCTTTTGATCGGATTCAATTGTTTTTGAAATATCCTTTTAAAAATTCATTTAAATCCACCTGTTTGAAAAACGAGTTAAGATTTGGAGGGCAAAATTTTAGGTTTTGTCCGGTTAATCTCAATCTTATTTTCAAAGCTAAACTTAGTACTTCTGAATGAATTGTTCTAAAGCATGGACAGATTTTCACTACGATTTTCATTTGAATCTGCCCAGGCAGCCGGTTGGCAACGGCAGTCGATCTGGTGCTGGACCTATTTTAAGCTGTGGTTATTTGGAGGCTATTTCAGAAAAGCTGCTGCCACGGACAACATTGGTTGCCATTATGGCATAATCTTCCGCGTTGTCACGGTCATACCGATTTGGGCTTCAGCGCCCACGACATACAAAATGGCTGATGATAGCCGCGCTACAATTTCACGCACTTATGTGCGCAACGCTAACATCTACCATCTACAACTACCACCTTAATGAGCTATTCTACTCGGTAAGTACGCCCTGCCCATAAATATCCCCGACTTACTTGCCAAAAATGCCTGGCCGGAATCGGGTCTGGGTTCTCTACATGCAAGAATTGCTCGGAGGATGCGGTTGCAATCTGTCACATAAATTATTTAATCAGATTGCAGCTTCCCTGCGCTGCTTTTGTGGATTCCATTTCCTTAGTTGGCCCAGATGGGATGACAGGTGTCCTTGGGCATCAGTTACCCTTTTCTTGAGTCTTATATTTAACGTTGTTGTCTATTGCTGTTGGGGTTTCTTGAGATTTTTTTTTAATTAAGATGGGTAAACAATCCTTTTTTAACGAAAATTTTGCTGATTGCAGACTTTTCTCTTTGCGGAATATCGTTTTTGAACAGACATTTTTCCCTAACAAATATAAATTAAACTATTTAGTTAATTTTAAGCTGAGTGAAATTTATATAAAAAACAAATACAGATTATTATATCAATTGGAAGGAAAAATATAATAAAACTGTTTGTCCCAACTGATGGTGTGGTAATCAACCCGCAGCTAAGACCGTAGGTGCGGGGAAACTCACATTGTTGAAACTAACCCTTCCTACAGAAATTTTGTAGCCCCAAACCAATTCATTAAATACTTGTTTCACATTTGGAATATGCGGGTCAAATAGTTTTCGGTCTTATTAAACGTTATTAATTATTAATATATATGCACATCATATCTTCTGACGTCGCTTTTAAGATAGTACAAAAGAAAATTTATGATACCTAAGATTTAATAGAAAACACATGGAAACACCAGCTATAATTATTATAAAGTTTCTACTCCATATATTAAACACATTGTATACTAGATTAAAAAAGAATAAGTAAGAGGTTATTCTCGGGAGCTCCCGACAAGGGGATATCCTGAACCGTCTTATTCCAACACCAAATGCAGCTTGCGCTACGCACTCGTGTGCTTAATTAGTAATAAAAAAAAGTCCCTTGGCATGGTTCGAACTCGCAGCTGACCGCATTTCTTGCTGCCGCCTCTAATCAATAGCCTAACCAGCCAACAAAAACTAAAGTTTCTTCGTTAGGATCCGAACTCGCAACATGAAAAGGAAGCATACTTGACATGTACATTATTATAAAAGCTACCTACCAAGCTAACTGGTGACTCTAGCTCTTTTAATTAGCCAAAATTGCTCAAAAAACATGATTAGAATATGCATTATATGCATTATCGATTACTTGGAAAAGGGGGCAACTTATCGATTATCGGGAATAAACTCGGTCTGCGCGGGCACTTGGAGGACCTACAGCTAAAGTTTCAATTCCTTAGCTCTTATAGGTTCTGAAATCATTTCGATAGTGCATACGGGTAGACGGACGGACAAACATGGCTTGATCGACTCGGCTATTAACGCTGATCATAAATATATACACTTTTTATCAAAAGGAAATTATATGGTCAATTATTAACAAAGTATGTAGGTACTTAGTATTAAAAATATAAATGTTCTCGTTATAGCATTCGTTCACTACTGTAGGTGTAGTTTTTTGCATATCGTCTTAGTTGCCCATATATATATTTTATTTTTTCGCAAGCGAATGAAATGGAAGGCAGTTAACACGTTATTGTAGCGCAAACCATAACAAGCTTTATTTGGCAAATGACTAAGGGTAGTAAAAATATGTATGTTTGTGTGTTTGTGCATTGGCAAGGACACTGAGGCTTATATTCAACTGAAGGTATGTATCTATATGTAGAAATAAACATGCAACACACACTACCACTACCCTACTTAAAAACGAATAGGCTACACTTAACCTATATTACAGTAGCAGTATCAGTTGCAGCAGCAGCAACAGCAGCATCAGTCGCATCCACACTGATCCAAAGACACATCGTCAACGCCAGTCGACGTTGTCGTCATATTCATATCTTAAGGCACAAATATACAGATGCACACAAATATATATAAAGGAGCCATAAATGGCAAACGCATATATCACGATTAAAGCGCATACACTTGTATTTATTTTACTCAATTATACTCGCACACTGCCAACGGCAAATGCAATTTGCAATCTGCAATTTGCAATACTGCAAATCAGAAAGTCATATATTGTATCCACGAATGTAATTAGTGCTATTATATTATACTTCTATCGAGGCTGAGGAAATGCATCTGATATACATGCTTAAACGCAAACATATAATGAACTGCAATTTGTACGCAATGTGTGTCAGGAAAAATGTTGTATGTATTATTGTGCACGACTACAGTTTGCTGACCAGAAGAAATTTAAAAACGATTCTTATAAAAATATTCAGAAGTTGAGCGAATAGTTTTTCATTTATTGGCTTTGTGGACAAATAAAATTAAAGAAATTAAGTCAAATCAAATATCAAGCCATACTTCCAGGAACAATTTAAATGCCACAAGGATAACAAAGACAAACAAGTAAGAAGCTAAAGTCAAGAATTCTCGACTACTATCAAGAAGCTACATCTCAAATTTGGTGACTGTAGTTCTTAAAACATAAGAGATTGGCTCAAAAAGCAGAATGTCCATATCGATTTTGACCGATTATCGGCCAAAAGAACCTATATTATTAAAAAAATTATTATGCAGATAAAATCTATTTTAATTTAGGATAAATATTTTCAAGGCATAATTTGAACGTCAGGTAAATGCCAACTCCAGTTGTAGCATCTTATTAACAGGATTTTCTCAGTCAGCATAAAATTTTCCGGAAATAATAAATTTCCAGTAGAACTAGAAGTAAAGCTGTCAATCTGCATGCCACTGACTAGACACAAATTTATGTTTAAGCTAAGATTTTTAATTTGCAGCTCCACTTAGGCGACAGAAACAAACACTATATATAAATAAAAAACCGCATTAAAATGTTGTATGCTTATGTATGAATTAATGAAAACATAAAACAAGGCCGCGTCCCTGGGACTGCGATGGGGTCAACTGGCAAATAATGTAGATATATCCTGGCAGACATATATTGGTTGTGCGCGGATTAGTCCAATGCATTTTTGCTTTTATATCTGCGTACATTAATTCAATATATATGCTTGATTGCCCCGATTTTCTGATTGCATTCCTAACCTATTACACCTCCTGATGCACTCGAATGCCCTCATTTGAATGCCATGCCCAGTCAAGTGAAAGTTCTGAATATTTCATGTTGCATATAAAGGAAAAACCCAGGAATTTGCCCATTCTATCTCTGTGAACAAAAAACTTCACATAATTAATGCTTTTCGGAGATTTCAGGCCGTCTTTTCTTCTTTCTTGGACTATATAACACGCTTAAGTCGCTTAACGGCAGTTTAATGCTTCATTAGGCATAGAGTGTGGGTTTAAACTATATAGTTGTAAGGCAGCGTCTTTTAAGTGAAAGGCAGCTATGAAGATTATATTTATAATTTTGAAGAATGTAACATTTACGATTATTGATTAATAAGTTTTTAATTTAGAAAATACAAATTTTAGTTCTTCAAAGTTATCGACTTTGAAACTAAACTTTTTCCTAGCAGCCGCATATAGTAAAATATAAATTTGATTAGAGACTTAAAGCCAATTCCCACGGTTGACTATAGCAGCTATTTGTATTGTTAATCAATTAAGAAAATGGTTCACACAGCCATTGGAGCCTAATCCATTTAGCCCAACGTGGGCGAAAGGTCGAAAGGAACATTTTTCATATTTTTCGTTACTTTTCAATTGGTTTGCATACAATTTGCATAAGCTCGCGATAAACTCAAAAGCTTTTGTCAAAAACCGCAAGAAAAAAAAGGCGCCAAATAAAATCAACTAAGTTGAATAAAACAATGAAACGTACTGATTCCTACTGATAAATGTGCGTTTGGTTGTGTGTAATTGTTGGTGTTTATATGTGAAGAAATGTGAAAAGCGTGTAAGCAATACAAAATAAATAATAACAAACAAAAAATTATGAATAATCCATTGGCAAGTCAAGCCGAATAGATGTACCCATCATCTCTCTCAGCCATCATCTCTTCCGGCCGTAATTTTTGGCTTTTTCTGTCACAGCCTGAAAGGAAAGCGCCAACCCCTAGCCCATCTAGCCCCAGCACAATATTCGATCTCTCCGCCTTACTGTGGTAGCTGATTCCACACTATTTCTGCGTGTGTTTATTTCTTTGGCTTTTTATATTTTTTTATTATTTCGGCTATACAACAAACGGAACTGCTGGCATACTTTGATTGCCTGTAATATAGTTGTGGTTCATTCCTCTTGCTGTTCTTTTGGGACGCGCACTCAGCCCTGATACCCGTTGGCCACTTTGCAATTGTCTATTAATCTCTTTGTGCATTAAGCAGCTAGCTGGGTAAGAAAATTTTATATTATTGACCACATACTTAGTGATCACTTATGGTGGATTGGCTTGTACAGTAAGACAAATTAAGGCGGACGATTTGATGTCATAAAGTGTCAGCTTAGTTACGCTTTTCTATTCCAGTAAATTATATGTATAGCAAAACTATTGAAATAAAAAAAAAAGGTTTAAGCTTTGGCATATCAGAGATGTTTAGAGGAAATGAAAACACCAACAACGCTACATTCAAATAATATATAAAAATAACTCATATTATCATCAGTAAGTTAGAGAATTAAGTAGAGTGAAAGTCCGTAAGCTTGTAACATTTCCTTTGAATTGATAGAATATTGATGAGTTAAATAAGCAAAATTTGCTAGAAAAGCTAACGAATAATAATCCAAAAAACACATTTTCGTTTCTTTCATGATTTCAATAAATTTTTCAATTGAAGCAATTTACAAGTTTTCAAAATTTATGAACTGTTATAGAATTTAGGTCATATATTATTTTCAAAGTAATCTGTTGGTGATTACCTGCAGCAAACGCCCTTGCTATCAATGGTCGATACAAATAAAACTATCATGTTTTATATACTTAGTTGTGCCACAAAAGTATAGCTTAAGATGATAAATCTTACCAACCTTATATTATAGTCTAATTTACACTTCTACATTTTTGTGTTAACAAAGTGTTTTTAATTTGTTGCTACTTTTGGAAACAGTTAAACAAAACCTTGTTCAGCTTTCGCCTCTTTAAGTAGCCTAACGGCAAATCCAGCTAATATATTTTTCAATTCGCTCTCAGTTTGGACGGTCCAGCAACATACACAAGTCTACATGGTGGAGGTCATGAATATTTTATTGCTGCGCTTTGCTCCTCAGCATGTAGTTGTTATTGTAGCTACTGCTGCTGCGGCAGTGAGTCTCAATAAAATATGTCTGGTTAGGCGTGCTGACTTCGATTTCCTTGGCATTCCCTTGCAAAAATAATCTCCTATATTACTTTTACTTTTATTTTCAATATGCTCATTCTATTCACTTTTGCCCCTGCGTCAGCAGCTGCTCGTTCATCGTTAGTTGAGGACATGACAAGCAACGTACAATTTTTAGGCACTCAAATATTTTAGCAATTTTTCTAATTCCAGTCACTTTTTCGCCTCTCAAGGAGTACGCCTCTTTGTCTACTTGTATTTTTATGCACATCAGCTAAATTTTGCAATAACGCGCAACATAAATCCAATTTAATTGTGCTGCTTTCTCGCTCACCCATGCCCATACACACACACTCCCACACACATGCACGCTTGGCTTGGCAGGCTTGACACTGCGTATACTTAATATTTGTTAGCTCGTGCTCTGCTCAAAGCTAAATAGACGCACATAAATTTTCTTCGATATCCGTTCGATTTCTTGGCATTGCACTTTGAAAAATAGACTTTGTTGCCTCAGTCTCCACTTCCTTCCCTTGTTCCACCTGCTGCTACGCCTTTGCCCTTCTGACTGAGTTACTGAGCAGAATTTTCTGCCAACTTGCACAAGCTCCCTAGCTTATGTTGTTGCTCCCATTCGGCCAGGTCAGTCAATTGTTGTGATTTATGTTTGAATGAAAAGCTATAAATTATATGCTAATCTGGGCTGGCACGCAGTCATTTGTACAACTGCCTCTCCAATTTAATTTAAATGGTTCGCATTTTGACTGAATGACTGATGATTGGAATGTTAATAGTTGGTTATGGGTTATGCTGAGTACGGGGCTAAAATACCAGAATCTCACGAATAAAATTGCGAGCGTCGGAGAAAAACATTCACAAGCTGCAGGTGACAAAACTTTTGCCAAAAATCATAAAGTGCACGAAAAGTTTATGCGAATATAACAAAATGTCAAACAAATGAAAAGACAAGTCAAAAATGTGAGAAAAAAAGAGAAATCGACAAACATCAATATTGAAATGACGTAAGGGTAAAAGAGTTTTTATTGTTCCAACTTTGAACCAATATTTTTCTTTTTAGTTTTAATGTCCGTCCACTTTTATCTGTATTTGCATTGCAGCGAACTGGCGGCCAACATTTTTGCGGTTTGTTTTGAAGAAAACTTAAAAAGTTTCTTAGTTGGTGCTTGCCGCTTTGTTAGCAGCGATTTCTCTCCTTGCTCATTGTAATGTTTGCTCTGTTAGTGTTGTGGAAGTAGTACTTTCTTCTATTTCTTGATATTTTTGTTGTTATTAGTACATAGATTCCTTATTTTCTCATGCTGGCTGAATGCCAAAATATAGATCGGAACGCCAGTGGCAGAGACACGGTATACTTACTGGCGGTGCAATGGGAATAATGTTTAAATTAAGATCAGAAACCTTTTAGCCAGGACTATTGGGCACTCTTATCAAACACATTGTTTAACGCAACTTTTCAAATAACTTTTGTTTCTAGCAAAAGCACACGAGCTATCCATATCGCGTTACTCAGAGCAGGAGCATCGGATTCATATATATTTTTCCCAGGTGGACAATTTGGTACTTGTTTATCGGCCAACATAATTTATAATGTAATGATTTTTTTTTTATTTTACTTTCTGCTCGGTAACTTTACTTTTATTTCCCATATGTAAGAGATAGTGGATTATGTTGTTGTTGTTGCTGTTTGCTTTTTGTTTATAATTTCACAATAATGTGCCAATAAATTTAATTATAATTGTTGGAGCAAAGCAAGCAAAAAGCTCTTTAAATGTATCAACAGAACACCAAGATAAAGTTTCTAATCTTTTTCATTCCGTATAGATTGTCGTACGGTGTTGCCTCTGACGAAGGTAATGAAATGGCCGCACATTAATCGTTTCGTAGCAGAAATGAGCTCAAAATATTAAGCATAACCGATCAGTACCATAATGAATTTTAAAATTGACAAGGCCTTAAATTACCAAGTCTGTTGCTCCTAAATATTACAGCAGGCTTACTCAGGTCGGGCAGATGCAGTAGAGAGAAATGTACATGTACATTATGTTAATGTTATCTGAAGACATAATAACTTCCGGTCAAGTATACAAATGAGGTAAAAACACCCACTCACATATACACATACAAACACACACAGCAACAGACACAGCACTATATTAAAAGCAATAAACAGACAACAAAAACAAAGAGGGCATTTTTGGTTTTCTGGTTTGCCGCATTTTTTTAATTACTGACGTCGTTTGTCAGGGAAGGTTTAGTCTGAATGTTTTAATATGGTAATATGCTCACAAACATTAATGAAAAGTGTGCGATATTTTATTTTAATAAGCTCAAAAGCGTGGAAATCAATAGAACTTCTGCAGAGTCTGTGTGTGAGTGGTTTTTAATGTGTACTTTGGTGTCCGAGACATTCCGGAGCAACATCGAAATGGCATTGCTTTTTTCCCTTCTCAGCTGAAAATATTTTTATTATAAGCGGTACGATAGGTTAATTGTGCAACGGAAATAGAAATGCGCCGTTAACCCTGCAAGTCTATAAGCTGCAACAAAAAATAATAACCTGCAAAGTTATGTTGCAATTATGGCCTAACGCAAGCAACTCAAGTGAGCAGGACACTACGAAACTTCAAGGAAGCCAGCGAGTGTGTGTGTTAGCTTAGCTATTGTGGCAATTTTACCGTCAGTTGAAATTGTGTCAGCTGAGTGTGCTTGCTTCGGTGTGAGGAGAAATCCTTACTTCAAACTTTACTCATAGCTTCCAACTTTTCTACTGCCTTGGCTTTTTTTTTTCATTGTTCGAAGTGTGCTGTGCGTGATTGTCCAGGATCCAAGGACGCCAAACCAAGTCAAGAAATTCTAGTTTATTTTATTTTATAAATTGTTTTACATTATGTTCTTAGTTGTCGCAACGACCAATAACAAAAGGGCGAGCTGTGCATGGCACTGATAACTTGACAAATTGATAATATGTATTTCAAGACAGCTGTGTTGGCTATAGAAACTGGTTAATAATGGTTTTTATTGTATCATCGTACAATTTATAAAATATAATTTGGCATTTCCCCCAGTACAATACTCGTCTTTGATCGGTAGTCTGCAGCATTTTGAGATATTTTTGGAGTCTGTTGTTTCTCAACATTCGCCAGAACATTTTTTTTCTTAGCTGCTTTTAATGTGTATACAATAACTAACATTTTATTAATATTGAAAGCCATTGAAAGCGTTTTATGTTTATATTTTTTTCTAAGTAAATTTGTTTGCTTCAGTATCTCTTTGCCACATTCCCCTTTCTTTATTTGTTTTTTTCTTTTTTAAATTAAATTTATGACTAAGCATTTCTGTCTTAAACATATTTTAACCGAGATTATATTTCATATTTTGTACGCTCTTTTGCAATTACCGAAAATTTACCATTATATTATGCAAATCGAATTAAAACTGCAAGTTGGACCACCTGCTTTATTATTGTCTATTGAAAATCCGGCGTGCACTTTTGACAACTAATTGCATTATTATTGCTTAAGTGGCAGCCAAAATTGCGAGCTCGCACACCAAGAGGTTCATATTTCTGCAGACTTTTCTGTATTGCAAAGCGAAAAAAAAAAATTGTCCTGGATATTTCAGTAGATTTAGAGTTATGGTGTCCTACGTTTTAATCTAATCGTTTTAACCAAACGATGACATCTTGTATAAAAGTGAAAGAATAACAATGTTTTTGACGTTGACTTTTATATTTTGGCTTCTGTGCTACCGCGGATGTTATTAATTTTATTGGTTCATTTTAGGCATATATTGCGGTCCGGATGCATTAAAACCATAATAACGATTTTTTTTTTAACATTTCACGTCTTTGAGTGGAATGACCTTTACCCTTAAGACATATGAGCTATATTGCGATTATATTGTACCTAAAGAGAAGCATATTATATTTAACTTCTGAAAGTTGGCAATTGACATGCATAAAAACCTTGGGTAAATATGTAAATATTATGCAATGTAAAATTTGAATTCTTTAATAGAAAATAGAAATACTGCATTTCACAATGCTTGAATTGTGAAGATTCAAGAAAAGGTTAGTTAAAAAGATAACTCAAATAAGTATATTTACTAACTTTTATTGCACTGGTAGATTCAAGAAAACAAATGCTCTTTTATATTGCGCACAAAATGGACAAATGCCATACACTCTTATACACACATACACACATGCAGACACATTGATACTCGTACACACACGTGGCCTGGTGATTTTGGCTTTTTGTCACGATCTAAGCCGCGGGTTTTTGTTGATTGCTGGCATTGTTCACAGCAATTAAGGCTCTTCGACTTTTTCTGCGAGTGTAGCGAGTGCTCATAGCTCAAATTACTTGACCAAGTGGCGAACATTAAAAAAATAAAGGGATGGGTATCGAAAAAGGGACAGCAGAGATTTGCTTCCAGTCGAAACCAAAATGGCGTCAATCATTTCACATGTGACATGATTATCTCATATGATTAGTTTTTTTATTTGTTAATTGTGTATGCATTTCTTTTATTTTGTGTGTTCGTTTTTACCTATTCTTGCCACTCTTTAAAGTGTTTGTAAAAATGAATTTCAATATTAACTTCACATGAGAATATTAATATCAATAAATATTTATTTCCGAATATTGGTTTTATACTTCAAGGTTAATATTATAAACATAAATAAAATGTTAAGATAAGCTGTGAATAGTGTGATACATATTATATTTGTATTTAAGTGAAATGTGTCTAAGAATATATTCAAATAATAAACATATATTTTGTATAGTTATGAACTACCATTTAATGAACATATTTTCAGCTAGACCTGTCTGAACAGCTCACAAATTCTCCATCATATGTATGCATGATGTATTGCATAAATATTCATTAATTAAAGCATAAGGAAAAGTAACTTTTTTGATCTCAGTAAACTGCTATTCTATATTTTATTAAATATCCTAAAGTGCAAGTGTTTGCTATATCTTTTAAAATTTTTGTTAGCTAATTGTTCTTTAGTAATCTATAATCCTAGCTGGCCATCAGGGGTATTATTTTAAGCTCTAGGTTTTAAGAAAGGCACCTCCGACATATTTAGACAGGTAAAGGAATGAAGGCTTTTTAGTATGGACGTTCGCCTCCGTGTGATTTGCATTCATAGTTGCTGCTACGACATCTGCGGCTGCATGACAACACTTCGAATGTTATCTTTTGTTCCCTTTTTGCGGTCGGATTTACAGGTATGTAGCTGGAATGTCAGCAGCGTCTTCTATGGATGCAACATGTGCTGATATGTCATGTGTCACCCACTCCTGAGGCGTGGTTTTCTCAAGGACAACGGATTCGCTTACGAGACTTGCCACTACCCGACTTATCCTCTTGGCCTAACCAATGATAATAAAGGGATATTTTAAATACGGACGAGACCTGAGCGCGCTACATATTCCTGACTGTCCTATTTAACTATTTAACACTTCCCTTTAGCCATATACAACACAATGCTATTAAATTGTAAAAGTTATATCGATTTTTTCAACCTGCAGATTGTTGACAGCAGCATCCACATTCGCATGCCCTTCACCTCATCGGATCAATTTTCTGATGTGTGCCACTGCAACTGAACCTTCCTCTGACTCTGATTTTGGGACTGACCACTCTTGCCGGCGACAGCTTCCCAGTATTATCGGAGTCCGAAACATGTCAGACTGCCAGCCCGCATATTTGCTTTGACTCGATACGACTCATGCAAATTTTAACTTCAAATATAAATTGTTTTTAGTTAACGTTGAGAAGACTTGGCAGCACATATATGCATATGTGTGTGGTATGCGTGACATGCAGGCATTGTATGCAACACATTCAGAGTTTTCAACTCTACCCTGTCGTTTATCGTCTCAGCGCAAAAATTATTCTAATCTCAATGGAAATCAGCATATAGATTTTTTATATTACAGAGAGTATAGAGAGTTTATTTTTTTCCCATTTTTATACCCTTGCAGAGGGTATTATAATGTTGTCGTGTGATGCGTAACTCATAGAAGGAGACATCGATTTTAATCAATTACTTGAAAATGGGGGAAGTTATAGATTATCGGAAACAAACTCGATCTACCGAGAAGACCTACATACCAAATTTCTCTACCTCTACATGGCTAGGCTGCTGATGCTGACCAAGAATATATATACAGTATGGGGTCGGAGATGCATCCTGGAGGGTCTATCTTTTTCTGTTTTTCAAGATTTCACTTAGCTCCGTATATTTATACAATCTAATTTACATCAGACCACCATATCATATAGCGGACATAAGACTTTTAAAGATATCTTTACCATACTTGGCATTATCTATTTTCCCATCGTTTCTTAAATCCGGGCAAAGCACTATGAACATTACGGGTCTGCAGAGGTATTAAATCTTCGGCGTGCTGTAGATATCCCTTCTACCTCGTTATTCTTGATTTTGCACAATCCGTCTACCGATTAATATTTATCTGATTCATTTTTTCTTCGCTTTACTTTGACCAAATATGTACAATTCTCACAAGCCTTGGGTAGAATACCTATAAAAAAATTTGTTGCTAATAACATTTAATTTCAACCTGAGAAAAAATTATTTTGTATGCTTTTAGTGCTTAACATATTGAAAGAAAGCATAATAA